TGTGGTCCGAAAATATGCAGGGAGTGATCCCAATCTTTTGGTACCAGTTAAGACCTGATTTGTGACCCAGGATGTGATCTATTCTGGAGAATGTTCCATGGGCACTAGAGAAGAATGTGTATTCTGTTGCTTTGGGATGGAATGTTCTGACTATATCTGTGCAGTCCATCTGGTCCAGTGTGTCACTTAAAGCACTTATTTCCTTGTTGATATTCTGCTCAGATGATCTGTCCATTACAGTGAGTGGGGTGTTAAAGTCCCCTACTCTTATTGTATTATTGTTATGTTTCTTTAATTTTGTTATTAATTGGTTTATGTATAAATGGCTGCTCCCATGTTAGGGGCATAAATAGTTACAATTGTTAGGTCTTCTTGTTGGATGGACCCTTTAATTATGATATAGTGTCCTTCCTTATCTCTTATTTCAGTCTTTGGTTTAAAATCTAATTTGTTTGATATAAGGATTGACACCCCAGCTTTCTTTTGATGTCCATTAGCATAATAAATGGTTTTCCACCCCCTCACTTTCAATCAGGAGGTGTCTTTGGGTCTAAAATGAATCTCTTGCAGACAGCATATGGATGGGTCTTGCTTTTTTAACAATCTGATACCCTGTGTCCTTTGATTGAGGCATTTAGTCCATTTACGTTCAGAGTAACTATTGAAAAATATGAATTTAGTGCCATTTTATTACCTATAAAGTCACTGTTTCTATATATTGTCTCTGTTCCTTTCTGGTCTTTGTTACTTTGGGGCTCTCAATTTGCCTAAAGGATCCCCTTCAATATTTCTTGCAGAGCTGGTTTAGTGATCACAAATTCTTTTAGTTTCTGTTTGTCCTGGAAGCTCTTTATCTCTCCTTCTATTCTGAATGACAGCCTTATCGGATAAAGTATTCTTGGCTGTATATTTTTCTCAGGTAGCACCCTGAATATATCATGCCAGGCTTTCTGGCCTGCCGGGTCTCTGTGGCTAGGTCTGCTGCCACTCAAATGTTTCTACCCTCTTAGGTTAAGGACCTCTTGTCCTGAGTTGCTTTCAGGATTTTCTCTTTGTCTCTGAAGTTTGCAAGCTTCACTACTATATGTCAAAGTGTTGACCTATTTTTATTGATATTGAGGGGGGTTCTCTGTGCCTCCTGGACTTGAATGCCTGTTTCCTTCCCCAGATTAGGGAAGTTCTCCGCTATAATTTGCTCCAGTATACCTTCTGCCCCCCCTCTCTCTTTCCTCTTCTGGGATCCCAATTATTCTAATATTGTTTCACTTTATGGTATCACTTATCTCTCGACTTCTCCTCTCATGATCCAGTAGTTGTTTATCTCTCTTTTTCTCAGCTTCTTTAGTCTCCGTCATTTTGTCTTCTATATCACTAATTATCTCTTCTGACTCATTTATCCTAATAGTTAGAGCCTCCATTTTTTATTGCATCTCTTTGATAGCCTTTTTGATTTTGACTCGATTGGATTTTAATTCTTTTATTTCTCCAGAAAGGGACTCTCTAGTGTCGTCTATGCTTTTTTTTCAAGCCCAACTAGTGTCTCTGTAATCGTTATTCTGAACTCTAGTTCCGACATTTTACTTATATCCATAGTAATTAGGTCCCTGGCAGTCAGTACTGCCTCTTGTTCTCTTTTTTGAGGTGAGTTTTTCTGTCTTGTCATTCTGTCCATAGAGGAATAGATGAATGAGAGAACAAAATGCTAAAATAGCAACAACAACCCCAGAGAAATATACAGTGAACAAATTGGAAGAGGCCAGAAACTGAATAGAAAATTAAAAAGAGAGAGAGAGAATATAATTAGACAAATGAACAGAACAGAGCAATACAAGAGATCCTGGGTGTATTTTGGTCTGTTTGTTAGAAAACTAGATCCTAAAGTTGTAAAGAACGAAAAACTTATGTATGTACAAAAATAAAATTAAATACAGTGAAAGGATAGAATGTAACTGTAAAAATGAAAATTAAAAAAGACTTAAAAGAATTGTTAAAATAAGAAATTGGTTGAAAAGGAAAAGGGGGGGCGCCTGGGTGGCTCAGTTGGTTAAGCGACTGCCTTCGGCTCAGGTCATGATCCGGGAGTCCCTGGATCGAGTCC